TTTTTTTAAAAAAATAAAAAAATAAAAATGAAGCTTCTGTAGCTACTTTAGTGAAAAAAAAAAAAAAACCAAAAAAAAACCCAATATCTGAGAATTAATGGAATTTTAGAATGGGCTCATTAACACATGGAAAATCATCCTGTTCAGGTTGTGTAATGCACCTACCCTGTTTCCCTGAAAATAAGACCTCCACAGATAATAAGCCCAATTGGGATTTTGAGCGCATGCACTAAAATATGCCTTTTCCCGAAAATAAGCCTTCCCTGAAAATATGGCAACATAGCAGCAGCCATGAGGTGACCACGCTCGGCACCACCTGCACCTCAAAAATAATAAGACCTTCCCGAAAATAAAGCCAAGTGCTTGTTTCGGGGATCAAAAGAAAATAAGACCCTGTCTTACTTTCGGGAAAATACAGGTATTAGCAACTCTTTAAATCAGCTTCATGTTTTCCAATGAGAACTTATACTACTGGAAAAGAACACAAAAAGTTTTTGTATACTTTGAAGAAGCATTGCAGAGCCCTAAAGATTATCACAATATTTATTATTTGACTTAATTGTCTGTTACTATGATTTTTTATAAGCCAACAAGCATTCTGTCTTATTTCCATGTTGGAAAAATATGAGAATTGTTGGATGTGAAATAAGCCTAGATTTGTGTTGGCCCTCCATTTTGAATGTTGGTACTCATGTATCATAAGTCTTGTTTTCATTAGCTCTTGTTAATATTTCTTTCTTATAGGAAAGTTTTATAGAATTATTGATATCAGTCATTGTGCCTTAAATCCTGGTTCACAAACAATATGCCTCTTCTGAATACCCACAACCAGGAGAGAGCTAGTGTTCACATGTCCTGTATCTACCAAGGTGCTTGGTTGGCCACCATGGATAAAAGATACTGGATAGCATCAGAGACCAAGGTTCCTTTTCTGTAGGGCATGGAGCTTCTTTCCAAGATCACACCACTGAAATTGAACGGGATTCCTCCCCACTGCAATTCTTTACCCATTTTTGGTGGAAAACTAACTGAATAAAATAGGCATGCTAATTAATTTATAATCCAAACTTCTCAGAAATTAAATAATGCTTACTTATGTTATCTTTCAACAGTCATTTTTGATGGTAGCAGTATATAAATGCATTTAACAAACAAGACTCTCTCTCACCCAATTCACAAAAATAGAGATTAAACTTTTCTCTCTTTTTTATCTGTATTGGTGATATAGACATCCAAAGGAGCACTTTGGAAAATCATGCCTAACGTACAACATTTATTAAGAATTTTACAGTTCTGCACATATTTCCACAAACTCTTACCTTGGGTTGCAATGTAGTGACTTGGTCTCTGGTATCCCTATAAAAACAAATATAGGTTGATTTTTAAAACAGTATGTAAGTTTTAAAAATCAAACCAAATAGGGAAAATGAAGGCATACCAAAATATTCCTAGATACTCTTTACAACTAGGCTGGTAGTGGCTAATCCAATCTACCATATTCAAAAACGTAGTTTCAACCATTTCCAGAACATCGAAGTGCATTGTTGGATGTGAAAGAAGCCCAGCTGATTTCAAAATGTTATTTTTGGACAATGGCACTTAGAACCAAACGAAAAGTTCCTGTAAACATATACTGTGTACATCAAAATGAAGTGGTTCATTGTTTCCTAATCATTCCATTTTTTGAAATCCATAACTGTTGTCATTTATTGAATTCCAAATTTGTTTTTGGTTCTAATTCAGTAAAACTATGAAATTGTTCTAAGCACCTATGAGATTTGCCTTCACTTAAAAAATACAGATTGACAAAGTTTTGTTTGTTATTTTAAATATTAAGCACAAAACAACCAAGCCATTAGCAAAAGCTTTCACTATGAATGCACCAGAAAAAAAATGGAGCCATAATGAGTAAGCAGAATGGCTGAACATTAGAGCTGGACAATGTATATGCGTGTACAGATTGCAAATCTACATGCAATGCTGCAATTTTGTGCAATTACATAAAACAAAAGTTTAGAATTTAAGAAATTGTGTGTACACATAATTTAAAGATGAACACACATATATGTGCCACTACTGAACTTTCTCTACAGTACAATTATGAAATGCAGGGAAGGATTCCATATACATATATTTTAAAAAAAGGATTTGTTGATCTCTTAGCTAAAATCAAGTAAACAAGAATTAATCATGATTGGTTAATGGTTAGAATATGAAACAAGAAAAAATATTACTGGATCTTATGAATATTATTTCACAAAGTTTTTGCTAATTATATGATAGAATTTTGGGAAGGCAAGGAATTAGTCTTATTACCGTAACAAATAACTATGCTATTAGCACATTTAAACATGCTATCTTCAGTGATTCTATGGCTTAAATGTAGGATTAGAAGCAGCATTGTATAACTATCATGTACTAAACACATTGCACTCAGTTGGTCAAAGGAACACATAGTTATTATGAAAAAGAATCCCCAAAGATGCCTTATTGACAAATGCATTTATAAAGCAATATATATAAAACATTGCTTCTTCAGTTTTTCCATCACTTCTTACTCAGTTTGACAGGAAATACACCTTTTTTTGATGGATGTTTAAAATAAAGAGAAATCATTAAGAATTATGGATTTGGTATAGTACTGCAAATATTAACTTTCTTTTGAGAGCCGATGGCATTGAAATGCTTATTACTAGCCACTAATGTTCCTACCAGCCAGTGGCTTCCTTGTTTTTTAACATCCAAAACAAGTCCCATAATAACCTGAGATTTTCAGAAAAAACAGAGAGTTGTGTGTTGTACCTGTGCAGTGATCTGCATTTAAACAGAAAATGTGATTTAGAGTACAGATGCATCTCTTATCTGTTGGAAATACCATGAACTAATATATACCAACTTTAAGGTCCAGCTGACTAGTGGCACCCTTTAAAATCAAGATTGCTGCATAGCTATAATATCTAAGACAAAATCCAAGTCAGGATTCTTGGGCAAAAATCCTACAAAATTCTAGATCAACCTGAGAATGCACTACAAAACAGGGAGAGAAAACATTTTCTTGCAGAGAAATGAAACTCTCAAGGAGTTAGATGACAGCTTTCAGCAGAATCCTGAAGTAAAATCTAGGCCTTGTAAACACAGATTAATATTGTTCTCTAACTCATAATCTTGCACATGCATTCATTCAAATTATCAGGGACGCAGCTATGAAATCCGTTTTATTAAAATTATTGGGGGTGTATCCCCTAAGTGATCACTGCTCTATTCATGTAATGGCACCCGTCTAGAAAACTATTTTCTAAGTACACCAGTCCTGATGACACACATTAGATATTTTGAAATTCTGCATTGAATTAGATTATCAAAAAATATAAGCCTTGACTACAGTCTAGGAAAATATTATTCCATTATAGCTTTCATGGTCACATATGTTCATTTGTATTTGTCCAAAACTGTAAGCTTCAGTACCATTTGTAACTCATTATTATTATTATTTTTATTATTATTATTTTTATTATTTCATTTTTATTGCAAGTGGAGGATTCTTGTCTTACATTAGAAATATGAGGGTCAAGGATTAGTAGGAGGAGCAATACTGCTTAAATGAATTCCCTTTGAGAACAGGAGACAACTCTAGCCCTCCCTTTATCCCTTCCAGGCCATCAGTAGGTTTCTTTTCAAGAGCAACACACTATATTCTATTATCCAGCTTCTCACACAAAAATAATGGAATACAAAATAAAAATTACTAAACAATGCAAAAAAAGGAAAAGAGTAATAAAAGAAGCAAAAATGAGTCTTGTAAGGATTAGGTTTTATTGACTTAGCTAATGATTTTCATGATCACTGTAAAAGACTAAGGATATTTTTAAAATGTAGGTAAAAGCAAAAGAAAAAGAGCACAAAGGAACATTAAAAAGACTAGATATATAAATGAAATTCATTAATGAGGCATGCACATATATCTAGTAATAAAAATTAGAACAGTAAAGCAACTGAGAATGTTCACTATATTAAATAGTCATAACAGGATGCTGTTATTCACATATAGTGGTACTTACATCCCTGTACAGCCAAATCTACAGCCCAAATCAAAGTCAGATGTGAAAGAAAGCACAACAATGTCAGTGAGTACTAGGACGGAGGACAAGGAAAAGTGTACATTTTGTTCATAATATTAAGAAGGCTCTGATTCAGTTCATTGGAATTGCATGCAAAAATGTTTCACAGAGAGAAGATGGAAAGGAAAAAAAAAACAAGATATACAATCTACTTACATCAATATAATTAGCATTAATGTAGTCTGAAGAAGGATCATCTTCCACAGGTTGCAATATCACCCTGGAGTGATCATCTGCAAAAAATGGGTTTCGTCTTTGGAATGATATACAGCAGAAACAAATGAGTGAAATGTAAAGGCTAAAGGTTCCCTTATTTAAGGAAGAAAAAAGTAGACTCCCCCCATTTGACCTGTAATGCTGGTGACCCTTTCCCAGTCTGCTCAAAAATGCCAGGGAAACCTCAAAGGGTATCTAAAATTGCACGGAAGGCTAGAGCCAAAAAAAAAAAAAAAGTATCCACTCTGTGGAACAATTGAATGAAATGAGTGAACAGATATACACACTTTAGAACCTGCCTTGGTTTTAAATCACTAAGAGCAGAAAGACTGCAAGAGGTCTTTCTCAATGATGACCCCAAACCAATGGAATTTCTTTTCTAAGGGAAATATGGCCCCAATTGTAGCTACTTTTGAAATAATACTGTATGGCTCCACTCCAGCTATAAGTATCAAGTGAGATACAAGGCAGCTATTTTCTAGGCTCCGTGTTGCTAAATATGTTATAACTTACTTGGATTAGGGTTAAAAAATACGACAATCAAATTTGTGAAAAAGCAAACCAGCAAGATGGTTTCTACAAGGACAAATGCAAAGTCCTTCATTTGTGTACGGTATAGGAAGGTGAATCATACTAAGGTTCATGCTTGGTGGATCACACAAGCTGAACATGAGGCAAACATATGATGGAGCTCTCAAAATAGCAAATGCAATCCTAAACTGCATCAACAGAAATATAGCATCAGTATCAAGAGACATCATTGTTCCTCATTGTTATTGGTTGATTAGACAACAATTACATTGTGTTTACTCGTGCATTTTAGCAAGGATACTGAGAATATGAAGCATGTCCAGAAACAAGCAATCAAGACAAAGAACCCAGAAGAAAAAACTCATGAAGAACTATTGATGGTGCTGGCCATATTTAATTCTGGTAAGGCATGACAGCTTTCTTCAATATTTGTCAGATGCCAAATTGTTCACACTTGATTCAGAAGGCAGTGTGTGGGTCAATGGGTTTACAAGAAAAGAGATTTTGGTTGTACATCAGGAGCAACTTCCCATTCAATAATGGGACAGACTATTTAGGGAAGTTATGGACTCTCCTTGATTGAAGAGCTTAAAAGAGAGGCTGAATGGCCATCTGTCTACATTGCTCAGACTAAATATTCTGCAAGGTCCTTTCTATGCTATGATTCTGGGAAATACAAAAAAATTCTCTATCAATCTCTTCAGCATTGGCAGAGGCAATGCTATGGAGTAGTTAAAGCAATGAACTAAGGCTAGGGAGAAATATTCTAATTTTTAACCACCAAGAAACACATCACTTACTACTGTGTAGGATGGGTAGACATAATAATAGGCTGTCTAGGTTTTGTCAATCAGCGATGTAACACACTCATCTTCATGATTATCTGTTTTTAACTCACATGCTATAATGTTCCCATATCTATTCTTCGTTCTGTTTTGATCCTTTTTGGCCACATCCCATGAAGCTGATTGTCCTTCAAAGAAACTCTTTCAAAATAAAGAGATAATTTATATTTATTTTAGCATTTTATTCATCCTGACACATTTTACAATAACATTGTTAGAGCATCAGTTGGGTTCTTGGTTTCTCTGAGTTTGATTATTTTGCTGGAGTTAGATATCAGCATATATAGCTTTTTCTAGTATAAATACATGGAAATATTCTGCCAGGCAGAAACAAACCCAGTGCTGGCACTTTGAAACATTCTAGAAAACACAAGAAGACTTGTGGTGGGGAAAAAAAAAGAATCCTAATACCCCTGTTTCTCAAATTCAGCAATTTTAAAATGCTTGATGGGAAATTCCGAGAGTTGAAGTTAACAAATCTTAACATTGTTGAGGTTGAGTAATACTGCTGATGTAAATAAAATGATTAAACGACAGTCATGCAAAAAATACTCCTTAATTAAATAATTACAGGTAGTTCTCAACTTACAACTCTATTATGCCTACCAATTATGGTCATAAGATGTGATAGTCATAAAGTGGGTCACCATGTAACCAACCTGGTTTTATCCTTTTACTGATGGTCATTAAGCAAATTACCATGGTCATTAAGTACTGGGATTTTTTCCCCCAAAAACTGGAAGCAAATGCCAGTTTTTAGCAAAAACATTGTAAATTGGGACCATGTGACCACTGAATGTCGCAAAAGCCTTTAAATGTGGACCAGTTGCTGAGTGCCCAAAATATGGTCACGTGACTACAAGGGTGATGCTGATTGTCAGAACTTTGGAACTGTATTGTAAGTCTATTTTGTTAGGGGGAGGGATGTCATAACTTTGAATGGTTGCTAAACAACTATTCATAAGTTGAGGACTACCTGTATTTCCAGCACAATGATAAAAAGCAAATGTAGCGTTTCTTGAAGCCAACAACTGAAAATAGGTTATAAAAATGTAAAATAATTTCAGTTACGTGGCAAGAATATTGCATACAACAAGAGCTTGGAATCATGTAACAGTGATTTGGGGTTACTGGTAACAAGGTTGTTTTTTAAAAAAAATAATCTCCCATGTAGTTAATGGATCCATCAGGAAATATATATTGTAGTATTTATCCAGTATATTGCCTTTCTCTGTAACACAATGAATAAGCAAACAAACAAATAAAACATGTTTTAAAAAGTCATACCTGCTTCTGTTTTATGTGGATAAAGTGAATTAGTAACTCACATAGCAAAAAAATAAAATCAAATGCTAAAAGTTATATACATATTTCCTTTATAAAACTATCTGATCAACTAAGATTAAAACCAGAGTTTCTGAATCAGGATTCAGGGATCTGTGTTTGGTCTAGATAAGCCATACACTTCTCATTCCAACTTGTCCAAGATGTCTCTGCTTGTGACACATATCAGTACATGGCTGACTGGTCTTGCCAGAACTGGAACTTGTTGCCTGATGAGAACCTCTCAGTCCACCCTCTTTCTGAAGTCAGAGTTGGGAGCAGGGCATAGACTGACAACTGTCTTCTCTGTGGTTCCTTCCTCCCCAAACTTTTGAATACCTTACCCCCCAGAGATCATGGATTTAGAATATCTTAAAATACAGATTTCCTCCCCCAATTCTTGGGAATAGGAATTGGGAAGAAGGTTGATTCATTACCTCTTTGTCTGCTGTCTTTTTTCTTTTAACACCATGCAAGTTACACAGTCTTTTGATCAGGGTGGCTAAAAAAAGCTACCAATATCAATCAATCAAATAGACAAAGAAGATTAGGTTTTTTTTTCCAATGTATAAATATTGATGCTGCATATAGATCCTTCAAGGGAAACTTTTCAACAAATGACCTTTGCATGCAAGATTTGGTTTATATAATATCCTGCATAGGAATGTTGAGGGAAAAACCTGTCCTTAAAAAGGGAGTAATATCTGTATGTGGAAGGTGTGTTTTTGACACTTTTCACTCTTTGCAGCTCTCTAGTTCACATGTAATGCTTTTGAATTTTCCACTGATTCATGGCACACAGAAAATGGTCTTTTTAAAAAATATAACCACATGAAATATTCATTTTCATGCTCTTGTAATTAAGAACTCTCTCTCTCTCTTTGCAATCAAGAAGCTTTACTCTCAAAGGAACTCTCCGCTCTAGGTCAGGTAAAAAAGCAACTGATGACATTGTTACCTCGTACTCTTCTTTGAAACCATAGCTGTCAGATGTTTTCATGAGATTAATATGCTGCAGCAAATCCGCTACTCTGATAGCAGGATGCAGTTGGCCAGTTTGGTAGGGGGATTCTGTTCCTTCGCAGAGATAACGAGGCACATCTAATAGACGACTTGACTCTGCCGTTGCACTGTGGTTTTCATCTGTGGTTATAAGAGCCCAAAGAATGGAAGAGTGTTCAGCAACAATGAAACTGAAATATTCCTGCTACAACCCATCTTCTCATGAGCTCATTTGAGCACTCTGCAAAGATTTGGATGCTATTTTGGCTCTTACAAAAGAAAACATAATCAAGAAGCAGCTACCCCACATTAATAGAAAAGTGGGAGCTCCCTCCATGTTTCCCCTCTTAAAGAAAGGCATCCCTCTCTTTGGCCTTCTTCATCATTGACACCCCCCCCCCCCCAAGATCAGGAATAACATCCCCTTAGAGATTTGGCATGGCTCAACAGTGACTGATATTTATGAAAGAAAGCAAAGCAAGGTTACTTTAGAAGACCTTTGGGAAAATGTGAATTGAGGGAGACCTTCCCTGTGAATGACTGTGGGTTCTAATGCCTACTCAGCAAAGGATTTTTCTACTGTTATGTTAAATGTTTGTGAATGTTTATGTTTTTCAGTTCTATGCTCTTAGATCTTTTAATTCTGTTAATGCATGGCAGGACTCTAAGCTGTTCAGATGGTTCATAATTGGAGCGGCTATATGCCAAATAAAAATAAAAATATGCATCCTCTTTATGTACTTTTTAAAAAGAAGTTATGCTCAAAATGTACACTCAGAGACTTCAAATTGATTGAACTGAATTTTCAGACTGAGTTAGAATAGACACGGGTATGTGTTGAATAAAAGCCTGATTTTGATTCATATACTGAGAAACCTGAAAGTGTTTATAATTGCAGTTCAACTTCTAAGTCCCATGATACTAACTGATTGCATACCACTGTTCTTTGGGTTTAGAGAAGTTTTTAACTACCTTTGTGCCTCCCAATTTTCTACCGGCTCACTTAAACTTAAATATTCTGTTATCTTCATACCAGTTAATTAAAGTGTAGAGAAAAACAATTTTCAGAAAAGTTGCCAATTTTTGTTTGGTTCATGACTGCGGCATTACAGTAATTCATATATCTTTGGAAATTAATAGACTAACCTGTCTGATACAGATTGTTGAAGCATCACAATAAGCAGCTTTTATTGTTATAAGTAACAGAGCATGTATGACTTGCAGGTGCACACCTTAATTTATACATTGATTATAATGCCCTCAGAATGGCTTGGAGAGAGTCATCAACATTGTTTTCTTAACACAGTAAATAGGGCTTGTACACCCTACTGCATCCTATGAATGCCTTCCACAAACCTTAACCCCTAATGCATTCAATTGAAGGTTTCTTCTATACATGCCTTATTAAATTACATTCTATACATGCCTTATTAAATTAAATTTGCGTTACAAATAAGAAGTCAAGGTCTCAATAAATACAGTATTTCATATATTTATGTCATATATATCTTAACAAAAAAAATTGCATGGTCAACTTTACACTGTATTTCTCCAATACTTACCACTTATAGGAACTGGAACACATTGAAGCATGTTAAAGCAAATAAAATATATGAGACCCATTTAAAACCAGCTAGCTACATGTTACTAAAGCAAGCTTACAAGTTCTAGAAGAATTATAATGGAGTTACTGAGGTAGGTTTTTTGCCATTTTTGAAATCCTTTATACTATTTTTAATCAGCACATGTTAATAGAAATACTTCAAATTACATTTCACATGCAAAATGTTTATTTAATGAAAAACAACAAGGCTAATATACTATATTAACTAATGTATAAGTCAAGAGCAAACACTCACAACCTCTAGCTAAGGCATCTTGCTTCATATAAAGGTGAAAAAGTTAACAAAAACTAATACAGTGATGGGAATATATTCTGAATCTGTCAATCTGTCAGTTTTGCCCTAGGTTTGCTCTTTGAGGTTCTAGTAGATTAACCTTTACATGTCAAAACAATCATTTTTGCCTAGTTGGAGGTTCTGATAATGTCATGTCAAATATCAAATATAATTTAGTGCCTTACTTACTACTATTATTACTAATGTCACATCAAATATAGTTGTTTAGTCCCTTACAACTAGAGTAAGACTCTTTCAATAAAAAGTATTAAGAAAACAACACTGAATCATCTAGTTTCATTTTTATTGATTGCTAAGGGTTGCAAATTGTAAGTCATTAATTATTAAATAGCTAACGCTAAATCAGGGAGATCTGACATGAAGCTTTGGATGGCTCTTACAAGTAGAAAAGAAGACTTAGTATAGATTTCAAACTGATGGACTTATTCAGTGTTAGGTTTTTAGAAGGATGTTTTACAGGTTTTAGAAGGAAACAAGAGAAAGGAAGGAAGTAGTTAAAACCATCTAAGATATTCTTATACAGAGTCTTCATGGTGGTTATATCATTTGCTATACCTTTCAGCTTGATCTGTTCTTAGAAAAGTATTAAGACACTAAATGATTCATGATTCTTATTATTTATATTCATTTTATTTAAAGTGCATAGTCCCTCCTATTGCACTTAGGTTGAAGGTATGTATCATCACAATATTCATTAGCTTTCTAAAAATATACAGATTTGATCCTGGAACTGCCTAGTATGCCTTGGAATGAATGTTTGTTCTGCTCCTAGAAAATGTCTTTGATACCAGTGGTATCTTTCTGGATTGCTTGCTTCAGATGGGGTTGATATACCACATAATCATTTTATTTGGCTAGATATGAATGATAGATTGGTATACTAATCACAGGGTTCAATCTTGACTCCCGTGCTGCTTAAGATCTACAATGAGCCACAAGTTGAGACTGTTTGGAGAATGCCACCACATCTAACATTATTTTAACTCCTGAAAATATAATTTTTCCTGTCATGTATCTACAGAGCAGTGACAGTCTAAAAGAACTTTACACCACTATCACTAATTAGCTCCATGCTATCATTTAAAAAAAAAAGAATGGAGTATGTTCTGCAGAAGGAAAGTTATGTCATCAAGCAACCATACCAGATGAACTACATAATATTCCTTTACTGCGCGGAGAACCTCTGTTGCTCTAAGCTGGCAGGCTGAGGTTTGCAGAGGAATACAAAGTGGGGAGGAGACAATCACAAATATGGGCAGATCTGAAATTTTTATTTTTACCCACAGAATTTCAGAGGGGGCTTTAGAACCATGTTAAATTAATTGTAAGATTTCCATCACAGTTTTATGAGTTTTTTCCCTCCCAAACGCTAAAAGAAAGGCCATCATTTTTCAGAAATAGTAATTTGATTGAGTGGTTTCAAAAACCACATAAATGAGCTAAGGAATGTTTGCACCCTGGCTATAGTTTACTAATCCCTATCTTAAGATAGAACAAGATCTATAGGTATGACCGCATAAATAAAGATTCATGAATGCTGCCACTAGCTAAGCTGTAAAATTACAAAGCTAACAATGTGTGCCAGGGTGTGAAAAGCTTTTCAGTCAACATTTTAGAAAATGGGTATTTAACCTGTTGCTGTAGATATTGCTGAACTACAAGTCCCAAGATCCAATGTTTCTGGCTAGAGTTCTCAGAGTTCTTTTAGTACCACATCCGGTGGAACTGCATATTACACACCCATCTTTCAGCTTCTGAAAATTCTTGCTTACACTAGTTTATTGTTGGAAAATGAAACCTATACAGCAGTGGTGAAATTCATTTTTTTTACTACCAGTTCTGTGGGCGTGGCTTGGTGGGCATGGCAGGGGAAGGATACTGCAAAATCTCCATTCCCTCCCCACTCTGGAGCCAGTCAGAGCTGGTCTTTGCCAGTTCTCCGAACTACTCAAAATTTCCACTACTGGTTCTCCAGAAACTGTCAGAAGCTGATGGATTTCATCCCTGCTCTACAGGTAGCCCTTGACTTAAAATCAATTATTTAGTGACATTTGAAGTTACTACGGCATTGGAAAAAGTGACAAGTGGTCATCACACTTATGACCCATTACCACATTCACAAGGTCATGTGATCCAAGTTGGGGGTACTTGGCAACTGGCATGTATTTGTAATGGTTGCAGTATCCTGAGGCCATGTGATCATCTTTTATGACCATCATTTAAGCCGGACCACATGATTCACCCATCAACTGCAGTGATGCACTTAAAATCATAGCAAAAAAGGCCATAAATCAGGTGTGATTCACTTAACAACCATCTTGCTTAACAAGGGAGATTCTGATCCTAATTGTGGTCTGAATCAAGGACTACCTGTACCTGAATACAGCAATAGCACTTAGACTTATATACCACTTCACAGTACTTCACAGTTGAGTTGAGTTGAGTTTATTTGATTTCTATGCCGCCCAATCCCGAAGAACTCCGGGCGGCTTTACAGCCCTCTCTAAGTGATTTACAGAGTCAGTATATTGCCCCCAACAATCTGGGTCCTCATTTTACTGATTTTGGAAGGATGGAAGTCTGAGTCAACCTTGAGCCGGTCAGAATCTGATTGCCAAACTGCAGACAGCTGGCAGAAATAGCTTGCAGTACTGCATTCTAACCACTGCGCCACCATGGGTCTGTATATACCTAATATTAAATATATCGCTAAGCACCAGGCCTAATTTTTTAAATCTGTAACTAGCTGCTTGGACGTGCAATAAACATATTTATTTACAAGGGCTGTAAGTCATGAAGGAAAAGAAGACAAAGGACTAAGTCCTCACCTAACACAGCAGTCGGCACAAGTGGATCATTGGGCACTGCGGGAAAACAAAGCTTATGAAAAAAAATTCATTGCCTCCAACTGTTTTTTTTAAGAAAAAAAGAAGCACAGACTTTTTGGAACATACAGCAAAGCCTATTCATCTTATTCATGAAACAGGAAATACAAAACCACTTTGTAGAAAACAATGTTTGCTTTTTTTACAGGATAAACAGTGCAATAAATGTATACAACTGTCCAAACAGGTTGGATTTAGTCATAATCTAAGCATTTTATTTTTGAAAGCTAAGGAGAAAAGGCTTAGATAGTTTTACCAGAGCAGCTGCCAAAGGATAATTCAACTTTAGGAAGCAATTACTGCTCTCAGAATTCCTTGGGCTCAGCAAGGAGGACAAGCCAGAGTTTTAAGCTTCCAAATGTTTAACTTTCTTAGTAGGGCAAAGTTTTGGCATGGCTTGGGTAAAACTATCGGCTGGCCAACATTCCTGGGGGAATTGGCAGGTAACAAAAAAATCAATGTGGCTTCTTGGGCCCTGCAACTGGTCCTATGCAAAATGAGAGGGTTTCATTGCTCATTCCAACCATTATTGGAGATGAGGAACATAGCTCTTAGCTGACGGATGTGGCTTTCTATTCTCAGATTTGGCATGGATTTTTCAACAACCATCTTCACATTATTCAAATTGCTCAGTTATCTCTTGAACTGGCTTGGTATTTTTCTCAGGGGAACATGGGCCTCTGTAGAAACTAGGGTGGGAAAACTAACTAAAATTACAGCCAAACCTTAAGATGTCTTACAGAAGTTCAGGGAAGAAAGGTTCCTATATACCCCTTCCTCCTTGTATACCTCTGAATCACATCCAGTAAATATATTGTTTGCAAGAGTCCTTAATACACTTTTTGGTAATATCCTTATGTTTCTTCAGCTTCTCATCCTACTCCTATTATAGTAGTTTCTGTTCTGAAGTTATTGGCAGCAGTTCTGTTGTGTAACCAGAATAAACAATACTTTTTAATGAAACTCATACACAGACGTACAGATATACACAGTTACTAATTAGATGAGTAATTAATATCTAAATATAAATATGATATCCCAAATGGTTGAAATAAAAAGTAATTTGAGTACCAAATTATTTGTGTATATGTACACACATATGCATACAATCATAGTGGGTTAGTGTGAGAACAATGATAAAAATATCTCATTATGTGGAAATCTGTTTTTCTCAGGCATAATGATACAGATATTGAAATTCTATTTGCAAAATACAATGTGTTTTTTTAACAAAAATATATGCCGTTTTGCAGTGTAGGTTTTAAAGAGCTACAATTCTTTCCACACAGAGAGAACAATTGTATGAATCCATATATTGCATGTTCAATGTTGAAGGGAAAAAAGTCAACATCTATCATTTTCTGTGGATTAATACTGGGGAAAATATGATGTAATGCTAGAGTTTTTAATGAAAGAATAGAAAGCAATCATTGCCTGCTGTTTCTGAAACAATTTACATGCTACAAAACTGCAATAGAAAAAACTAGGAAGTCACTTAAAATATTATCTTGAAAAGGAACTTTCTGTGAGAATTTTTATATGCATCAATCTTCTAAACTACTGCCCTTTATGTTTCTCATCTTTGGACCAGCACTTATCCAGCAAAAGATTGGCAAAGCATTAAATTGTGGCTCTGGAGTAAACTTTCTACTGCTTTTGTTAGAGAATAGCCTCAGAAAATTGTATTTTATAAACAGGTATTTAAATTTCTATGTATTTGATTCTTTTTTCGTCTGTCTGGAAGAAAGGCAAATGTTTCACAACTCTACTGTTTCATTCCCTTGCATAAAATGCATTTTTATGGTACCAAATGCAATGTACAGCAGATATAAACAGAAGTTGCTAATTTCAGTGACAATGGGACTATCATACTTACATCTGGGGTTGAAGTTATGAGAATCCATAAAGGTGACTGAAAGTGGATCTTCTGCATGGATTGTGCTTTGATCAGCATAACTCCGATCCATGGCATTCACCATATGGGTCATTTCTTGTCTAGTGTTTCCCATGGCATCTTTGCGTTTCTTAGCCAGTTTACTGCGCAACCAAAATCAAGAAAAGAAAAGCTTTAAAAAGTAATCACACTTTTATTATCTAATCGTAACAGCTATTCAGTGGTAAATAAATCTATTAAGACTACTTTAGAGCAGGTTTAGAGTTTACAGCAGCCATATACTTGAGTTTTAGGGGGGAAAGCTACATTTGCAATTTAAGACATTTAGGGAATCAGTATGCACACAGAGATATTAATTCAGTTCTAGAGGGACTCACTTTTCAGCAGGTAAGTTCAGGATTTTAACTCTAAAGAGTTCATTTTTTAAAAATACCAGAATATGACAATAATAGAAATGTTATACACATTCACTTCTTAACGACAACTGCCAATGTTAAATCTACTTTGCACTGTTTATAGCAAATGCACATTATTTCAATGTTCATAATTATTCAAATTAGAACTTCTGCCATTGTTTTATTTTTTTGTGAGGATATCTTCATTTACATCCTTTTAAAAAAAATTGGTATATTATGATGGCATAAATAAAAATCTGGAAAAAAAATCCTTAATAGGAAACACCTTATAATTACATTCTCCATTCCATCTATATCAGGAGGGTCAAACTCGATTTCATTGAGGGCCACATCAGGGTTGTGTTTCACCCAGATCTAAGCAGCCTGAGGGGGACTTCCGGTGGGCAGGGCCTGACAGAGGGTTGTTATCTTTAACAGCTCTGGAATCTTGGTGTCGTTAATCTGTCTAAACAGCAATCTATCAAGCTGTTTGGCAGTTTATTTATCCTCCCTTCAGGCTTAGAAGAGAGTGATGAGAAGCTATGCATCGGAATCTCTCCAACTAGCTCTTTCAGCCTAAACGCTGGGAGGAAAGGGGGAAAGCACCGGCTGTAGCATGGCAGCTCCATGCCAGGATTTATTCTGCCTTTTGTTGCAGAA